TAAGAAAGTCAGAGTTATCAATGAGAGGCTGAGCAGGGAAAAAAATAGAAGACTTGTTCAATGGAAAGGAGAAGGGAAAAACAGTCTCATGAAAGACCACATCACGATTGACAAAAAAAGATTTTGTATAAAGATCAAAAAGTATATAGCCCTTTTGAGTTGATGAATAACCCGTAAAGATAGAAGGTGAGGCCTTTGGAGAAAATATCCTTATAATTAACTTTAGTTGCATAGCAAAGATAACCAAACACTCTCAGATGAGAAAGATTAGGTGATTTTTTATAGAAAACTTCAAATGGACTTTTCATTTTAAAACAACAGTAGGAAGCCTGTTAATGATATAACATGCTGTTAAAACACACACACCCCAAAATTTGATAGGCACATGAGATTGAAACCAAAGAGCACGGGCTACCTCTAAAAGATATTTATGTTTGCGTTCAACAACCTCATTTTGTTGGGGTGTATGAACACAAGAGATTTAGTGAACAATTCCAAGAGATGAGAAAAGTTCAGAACAATTATCACTAAAAAAACTCACATCCATTATCACTACGAACATACATAACTGAATTAGAATGATGATTTCAGACAAGAGTAAAAAATTGCTTAAGAAAAAAGATTGCATCACTCTTAAGTCTCAGTAAATAAACCCAAGATAGTTTAGTTTGATCATCTACAATAGTCAAAAAAGATCTATGACTGCTATGTGTTGAGATTCTATAGGGACCCCACAAGTCAATATGAATCAGATCAAAAGGTTTAAGTGATTTAGAAGAACTAATAGGAAAAGGTAACCTTGATTGTTTTATAAGAGGACAGGCAGAACATTGTTTAACAGAGTTTTCACTCAAAAGAATAGAACAAAAAAGGATTCTTATGCATTTTAATAGAAGTGGCATGCCCTAAACGTGCATGCCAAATCATTGTGTTATTAACAGAAGAAACCAGAAACAAAATCCTTGGAATAAAAAACATAGAGACCACGAGACTCCCTACCAATCCCCCTTGTCTTCCCAATGAAGAGATCCTACAAAATGTAAAAATGAGGGTAGAAAATAATACTGCAATTGAGGTCTTTAGTAATTTTTGACACTGATAAAAGATTATGATGAAAGTTAGGTACATACAATACATTGGGAATAATAATAGTTAAATTAAAATAGAAACTACTAGTGTAGGTAATTGGAATAGTTTTACCAGTAGGTAAATGGACAGAACGAGGACTATACTCACATGAAGTAAGAGATTGTAAACAGTGGATTTCAGACACCATATGATCAGTAGCCCCTGTATCAAGTATCCAATGAAAAGAATTACAGTAAGTAGGTGAGCATTTAGAATCAATACCTGCTAGATTGAATGTTGCATCAACCGAGGCAGTTTTATTCAAAAACTCAAGGATCTGATGATACTGAGCTGTTGTGGAAACTGGAGCAGCCAAAATATTACTGGAATCACCAAAACGTGATTCATGATTAAAATCGGGTAATGAGGAGTTCATAGCAAGAGCTGCCTGAGGACTCTTCTTCTTGGTGAACTTGAAATTATGATGAAATCCATTTAAGTGATAATAATTTTCACACTTATGGCCCTTTACCTTGCAGAAATCACAAATTCCAGTAAAACGCCTTCGATCTGAATTTCCAGAAGCACTGGAATACATAGCAGTTACTCCCGAAACAGTAGATAGCTGAACTCGTTGTGCTTCTTCTTGCACAATCATGGAATAGGCTTGATTAACGGTCGACAGAGGTTGCATAAGAAAGACTTGACTACGAATTGCTAAGTACATATCATTCAGACCCATAAGGAACTGTAACAATTTCTATTGGGCAAGATGCTTAGAGTTTTGTTGAGAAGCCTCACAATTACAGGTTGAAAAATGAACTAAGGCATGATATTCATCCCATAACAGCTTTAATCTAGATCCATCTACCTTGTCAAATCGCTCCTTCAAATCAGTCCGGATATGAGCAGAACTTGAAGCGAATACGATTCCAGCAGAGAGATCAGTGCTCACTGTATTGAGAATCCATGACTGGATAAATGTATTACAGCGTTCCCACTGAAAGTGCAAGAACTCATCATAGTCCTCTTTGCAACATGTGCCATCAACAAAACCTAATTTTTCTTTTCCAGCAGCGCAATCTTCATAGAACGGCTCCAGATATTGTAGTTAACAATGCCGACCAGGCGATGAGAAACAAGAATGCCCCCCGGCGTATCAGATGGATGTAGAAATAAGGAATGATTGAAGTCGAGCACGCGGAGGTGGTGTCAGGGGCATTCATTTCTTCGCAAGAAATCACCCAAAAAATGTGAACAAACCGGAAAAAAAGAGAATACGGGTTGAAGGGAAAAATGGGCAAATATGAAAATGACCCAAAGAATCACCTGGGGTAAATTGATACCATGTTAAAAATAAAAATCGATATTTGGGTAAAATTAACCTTTTATTCCTCATCTTTTCAATTTACAACAAATAAGTTCTATTTATATACAAACAACTCCCATAACTAACTCAATAACTGAAAGCTAACAAACTAACAAACTATACAACTAGACTAACACTTTCTACACGATTAACCAAGTCAGTCACAACATGTTGAGAATCCAAAATCTGATAACTCTTGGGTAATTAACCTCTGATTTTGCTCCATAGGAGTGGAGACCGGTTTGGCTCCCCTTAAACATGTATCTTGAATAAGTTCGAACGCATATTTATGTTGATTCAACAAGATCCCATCCTTGGATCGTATAACCTCAAAACCAAGGAAACACTTCAAAGTCCCCAAGTCCTCATTTTGAAGTTTCTATACAAGACATCTTGAAGTTCTTTAATCAAACCTGCATCATTTCTAGTAAGCAACAAGTCGTCAATGTAAACCAAAGCAACCACAAACTTACTCCCTTACATTTTTTTTTTAATAAGGAATAATCATTGCGACTTTTCTCATAACTAGTTGATGATAATGCTTTAGTGATTTTAATATTCCATTAACGAAAAGCTTGTTTCAAACTGTAAAGAGACTTATGTAAACAACAAACCCTATTATCTTTCGAACAAAAAAAACCATGAAAGAGAGCTGTATAAACTTCCTCATAAAGGTCACCTTGCAAAAAAAATATTGTAAACACCCACCTGGTATAAAGGCCAACCATGAATAGAAGAAAGAGCTAAAATGAAATGAAAAGTGGTAATTTTCACCACATGAGAGAAAGTGTCTAAGAAATCAACTCTCTCCCTTTGTGTATATCTTTTGGAGACCAACTGAGCCTTGTAGCATTCAAATTTACCATCAGTCAGATATTTGATCATATAGACCCACTTACAATCAACAGGCCTTTTTCCCGAGAGGCAAAGGAATGATCGACAATGTTTGATTTGATTTTAAAGCCTAGATTTCTTCGTTTATTTCTTGTAACCATTTAGGGTCATTACTCACAGCTTTGAAAGAGGTATGTTCAAAAAATTGAGAAGTAACAAAAATGAAAGGTTGTGTGTGAAAAGGTTAGTGAGATTAAGAAACATGATTAGAAATAGAATGCTGACCTGAGGATGAAGTTGATTGATTGCTGCAAATATATTCATTGATCCAACAAGGAAATTTAGAAACATAGGATGACGTTCAACAAGGAACAAACTCAGGTAAAATGGGATCTTGGGGAAACAAAGGTTGTGAAATAAGTTCAGATAAAACAAGTAAATCTAAGGCTTGAGGTAAATGTCTAGCAGGGTTCAGTGGCAATAAAGGTGGTGGGGTAGAGGAAGAAACTGAGGCTGAAGAAGGTAAATCTAAGGGTTGAGGTAAAAAGGGTTGTCAAACGTTGAGTGATGAATAGTATGATGTGGGTGTTGAAGCTGGAGCTTGGGGTAATGAAGATTGAGAAATATTGGTTCCGAACATCGATGATGGCAAAGGAACATAAGATAAAAAGTCAGGATCATAAACAATATCTTGCAATGGAAAAAAAAGGTTGATTTGGACACGTGAAAACGAAAGGGGAAGAGGTGCTCATGGAAAACCACATAACGATTTACAAAGAAGGTCTTAGTCTCAAGGTTAAAGAGCAAGTATCTTTTTTGAGAGGTTGAATACCCAAGAAAAAAAACAAAAGGAATGGTCTTTGGGGAAAACTTATCCTTATAATTTGGTTTTGTTGCATAGCACAAGCAATCGAAAACCCTTAAATGAAGGACTCGGATCCATTGTCACTCCATATATTTTAACACATGAAGAAAATTGAGTTTTAACCAAAGCAATAAACTATTTAAGACAAAGAATGACATCACTTTTTGTTTCAAAAGATATACCCAACTCATGCTTGTAAAGTCATCTACAATTGTCAAAAAAGAACGATGACTACTATGGGTATATATTCGATATGGTCCCTATAAATCTATATAGATGAGGTTCAAAGGAAATATGACACGTGATGGGAAAAGGAAGATAAGCTTCTTTAGCTAGAGGGCAAACGATGCCAAAATGTATGAACTCATGGTAAAGTTGAGTGGCAGGTAAGCTAACAATCTTGTTCATTTTGATTAAAGTAGCATGCCTCAATCGAGCATACCAAAGATTCATATTGTTCATAGAAGAAATACACTTTCTTATAACAAAATGTACAATAGGAGTTAAGAAACCATTGACCAAAGAACTATGAAAAATTTCATTAAGGACTAAATTGATAAATAAAATTATTTCGAGGATAAGTTAGACAATTTCTATGTGTTATGGGATTAAATTTGAAGTATGAGATAAAGAATTTATATGTTAGAATTTATTTGTTAGAATTTATTTTTGGAAATAGTGATTAAATTAAAATAAAGGAATTACTCATCTTCAAGGTGAAAATAAGAGAAGAGTTGGACTCTTTAATGAATTATTATCCCCAAAAGTTATAAGATATTTTTCTTATGCATAATTAGATTAAATGGGTTTTCCATTATCAATTTAGAACCTTGGATCTAAATGAAATGTGTGGTTGTTATTTATTAATAAATAAGTTTGGTTGTAAATAAAGATTTAGAGAAAAGATGAAAAGAATTATTCATCTTCTTCTCCTCCAAGTCAATGGGTGATAGAAAGACAAGGTAATGTCTCCCTCTTTCCTTCATTTCCTCCATTTCTAGTTAGATTTGAGGATAGTTTGTGAGAGACTAAAATGTTTATCTCTTCATTTCCTTTAAGATAAGTATAAGAAGGAAGGTAAAGGTGAAAGAGCTCCATCTTGGGATTCTAGCAACAAGGTAGGGTGTTCTAATCCTTAGTGGTGTTATGACCATATTAAGTTGATTATTTGTTCGAGTTTGAGTAATTATTAGGGGTTCTTTCTTGATTCATTCCTTAAAAGGTGTTCTTGGTTGTCAAGATAGTGTTTATATGGTGCCATGTGACCTAAGAGATTTGAATACGAATTGAGCCCTGATAGTTTTGTATGAGCAGATTAGTACTAATAAGTTATTAATTGGATGTTAATAAATTATCTTATTTTTGAGAGTAATTAATCTATGCCATGTTCAATTTCTAGAGTGCTGGTGTTCATGGAAAATGGCCAAAGGCTCGGACTAAGTTAGTAAGCTCAAGTTCAAGAAATTAAGGTGAGTATCCCTCGAACTCCGGATTGTTTCATGTTTTTCTTAATCTCAATGCCTTGCTTGTAAGTGGACACCCGATTTAGGGTTCGAGTAGTAATTCTTAAGAGTTTTTTTAATGATAAATTGATTGGTGGAACTACTATGATCATGCTTAGTTTTCCTTATTATATGATAATTACACTGGTAGAATTAAGTGTTGGAACTAAGATTTTACGTTGCAAGCCAGATTTTAGGTTGTAAGCCAGAATTTATGTTGCAACCCAGATTTTAGATTATAACTGGATTTTTAGGTTGTAACATGGTTTTAAGTTTTAAACCTATTTTTAGGTTGTAAATCGAATTTCTAAGTTGGAAACCTGATTTTAGGCTGGAAACGTATTTTTAAGTTTGAAATATCTATTATGACTTTTGCTATGTAAATCTGGGGCATTTCTTAATTAGTTACATGTTTAGAATAACACGAGATAAATGAGTAAGAACAGTTTAAGAATAAAAGTGATTGGGAAACCCTCTGTGTTAAAAGATTAAAATACACTTAGGTGTTAAAGGGATTAATTAGCGAAAGTCCTTAGACACCTTAAAGGTGAGATAATTAAAGTATTAATGAGACAGTCAACGAACAAAAGGATTTAAGTCGTAAATTACATGTAATATTCTTATAAATGAGTAAAGTACTCGTTGGAGATGAAAATGACCAAAATACCCTTATGTACCTAAATGATCAAAACATAGTGATTTAATGAGCTGGTAAATGTCGAATGAACTTTACAAATGATTAGAGTTATATTTGTGTGATGCATAAATGATTGTCATGTTGCATGACTTAATGCATGATGTTAGGGAGGCTTGAGGTAAGCTATTATGTTTATTCCTATTAATGATTGACTATACTGAGGTAAGTGTATTACAAGCATCTTGATATTGTTATTGCCCAAGAAAACAAGTTAGAGGTCGTTGGTACAATGGAATGCCTAGGGTCGAGCAGTTGTGTCTTGGTCTTTCGAGATCTTTCACCTTAGTGGAGTAACTCCGTGATGATATTGACCCTTTGATGCGTTTGGTCCTATGGTTCATCTTCCATAGCGGAGTGATTTCGTGTCGGTATCAAACTTTGGCCCGAGTCACCTAGATAACCCCTATTAGAGTTTACTTCTAGTGTCCTTATAATATTTAATGACAACACATAAATACAAATATTTCTATGCATGATATACATGTGTTGGTTTGATGATTATAAGAATGATATACACTTGTTTGCTACTGGTTATTGTGAGCATGATATACATGTATTTACTACTGATGATTATATGCATGATATATACACACTTTCTAATGTGATTATATACATGATATACATGCGCTTACTACTGATGATTATATGCATGGTCACATGTGTTAGCTACTAATTATTATAATCATAATGTACACGTGTTGGTTACTGATGATTATATGCATGATCTTTTACCTACGTCGATGATAGGATTAAATATGTTAATCTGGATAAGGCAATTATCAGATAAACCATTAATGATGAGACTATTATGATAGGGACCACTTTAATGAATCAAAGGAATATCATAGATTAAATAATTACTTTGCCTACTATATAATGAACTTAGAGTTATTAAGATCATGAATATGATAGAATGTGAGAGGTAATCTAATGAGAAAAGATATGGTATCCCTAGACTTTGGGTAAGTATAATGATCTTGTCTTATTATGATAAGACTATGAGAATCATTGAATAATGGATGAAGATCGTAAGTGGCTAGTATGTTGAATTTATGAGAATCATGAAATATAGTATGGTCGATGTGTACTCACTCTTTTAATTATTACCTTTACACGTTCAGGTTTTGAGGGTCACGATGGGACAACGATGTTATGAGAGGAGTCTCAACGAGAGTACTAGAGTAAGACGATGAAGACATATAGAGATTACGAATTTATTCGAGTCAGTTGTAAATTATTTTATTGCGTATTTTGGTTTTCAAATGAAGGAGCTATGTCCATTCTAAATAATTATTTTTTTATAATGACATTATTAGTTTTTAACTATTTAAATAAATTGTGATTCTGTGAGTCTGACTTGTAGGATCACTTTGGTGGTCCAATTTGACATCGTCGATTGAGATTTGGTTCCCATGTCAATTTATGGGTGTCAACACACCTTTTCGTCCTACTAGAATTCAAACTCCTAAAGATAGGATAGAATTTTGCTAGGATTCAAAAAATAGGATAGAGTTCTACTATATTTAAATTCCTAAAGATAGGATCCACAATCACTATAAATAGCTATTATAACTCACCATTGTAAGACGATTTAGACACAAAACATAGAGGAAAGCACGGGAAGATACAAAGGCAAAGCTATTGTAAAGGATTCGAAAAGGAAATAAAAGGTAGCATTTTCTTTTTTCTTTCTTTTGCATGTGCACGTTATTTTTCTTGAAATTTGGTTCGAATAACCCAAAACGTGGGTTGCGCCGATGACCAAAATGGGTGGGGTTTCGATGTTTCGAACTTAGATCTACCCCGAGGCTTATTTTTAAAAACCTATTTGATTTTCGGTTAAAGGAGTGGAAGAGTTTTTTAAAAATCTATATTAGTCCCTTTATTTATTATATGGATATTTTATTCATTTTTTATTATTCATGTTATTATTATTATATGTATATATATATATTAAATTATTTTCATTTGATTTTTTTACTATATTTTATTATTATTATTATATATATATTTCTTTAATATTTTACTTATAAGTCTAATATTACTATATATATATTATAATTATCTTTATCTAGTCGTATGTATTTTTTATACTTTTAATAGTTTATTTATATACATATTATTAAATATATATATTCTTAATTATTTTTATTTGATTATTTCTTTATTTATGTAATATATCTTATAACTTTATATATTTATATTATTTTTTATTATTTTCGTTTTTTTATTCATTATTATTATATTATTATTTTTTTTAAAAAAACCTTGTGTCTTTATCATTATTATTATTAAACATTATATTATATACTACTAACCTAGAGGGCCCAATTTTTGTCTTATTTCTTACTAAAGCCCCCACTTTCGGTGAATTGGGAGGGTAACTTTTCTATTTTTAAGTATTTGATGTACATATACAACTTATTTATTTTATTAATACTTTGATATATATATATATATATATATATATATATATTTATATTTCTTTTTCCTTTTTTCAAATATTACTATATATAATTATTACTTTACTATTTTTTTCTTATCTTACTTATTATTTTATTTATTTTATTTTTCCCTTGTATCTTATTTGTTTTCTTTACCTTGTTTATTTAACACATTTCTCGATTTTTTTTCAAATCAATCAAGGGTAAGTAATTAGGATCGAAACTTTACCTTTTAATTTAACTTGTTATTTTTCTTAATTAAGACAACTGGAAATTATGTAGTACCGAAAGGGCGGTTCAAGGGTGTTAATCCTTCCTTGACCGTAACCGACTCCCGAGCCCGACATATTTCTGGTAAGACGCAGATCAGGTAAGAAATAGGGTATCCGATCAACCCATTTATTTTTAAATAAATGATCGGTGGCGACTCCAATCCACATTTTTCAAGTCGAAGCCCAATTCCGAGGCCCAACCGAAAGACGGCTGCGACAGCTTGGCGACTCCGCTGGGGACCGTAAGTGAGTCAGGCTAAGGTAATTTCCAGTTGTTTTTTTTTAATGAAAAGGGTAAGTTTAAATTTTAAGGTAACATTTCGATCATTATTGCTTACTTTTGATTATATTTTCGAAGTAAATAGTTGTACTGACCGTTTTTTAATGATTTCAGCCCTTAAAGATTTTTCATCTAAAGGCTCTATACCCGAGCTCCGAACCCTATTTAAGTGGGGGTGAAAGCGACGCCTTCGTGTGAATTTATTCTCCGTATGGGCCTAGCAAGTAACCTTCGGGATTCATATACCTTATGCCTTCGTGTGAATTTATTCTCCGTATGGGCATAAGGGAATGTTTCCTCTCGAGTTTAACTTAGTCCACACAAGCCTGTGATGGGTTTAGGACTAAGGGTCTGGCAAGCCCAAGGGGGCACCACCAAGGAGAACTCGGGTACCATTTTTTAGCACCTAAACCGGGAGACCATGGAGAATTAGAGCCCACCCCAAAACCTCATTCCAAACCCTAGGCTGCTTTGTTTCCTGCTTTAGTTTCTGTTCAAAGCATGCGAACTAGACAAATATGCGGTTAGGATTTGTTTGAAAGTAGCATGCGGGATAGAGATCATGTCCGGGTAGGAATAATAAGCATGTGGGGTAGATATCATGTGGGGTAGGACTTTCATTTTTATGATCGTTTTTTATTATTTTTTTTTCACCTCACTAACTCTTTTCATCTTTCTTTTATTTTATTTTATTTTATTTTCATCACTTGCATCATAAAAGAGGTCATTGATCCACTAAAACGTGTTTGTTAAAACTCGAATAATCTGAATCCATGGACAAAGGTGTTGTAATACAAGAGATTAAAAACCCCGAGGTACGACTATGGTCCGAGAAGACTCAGAAGGAAAAGGGAGACAGTCTTCAAGGAAGCTATGTGTCAGTGCTGGTTAGCTACGCCTCTATCAACCTAAAACAGAATAATGTGCAAGAACTTCGAGACATCTGAGATAGTTGGAAGAATGATCGGAAATAGAAGTTCAGTCAGCGGTATGGTGATATTGCATTTTTGCTTCATGTTAAGACCGATGAGCCCTTAATCAGAGTCTTGGTTCAATTTTTGAACCTGGGATACAGTTGCTTCACTTTTAACCAGGAGGACATGGTACCTACCATCGAGGAGTATACTACACTATTGCACTGTGAAAGCATTAAACTGGAGCGAGCCTACATCAAACACATCAAGAGTCAGCCTTTCAAGAACGGACTGGCTAAGATTGCAGGAGTTGATGAAAAATGGGTGACTGATCGACTCCGAAACAAAGGTAACGGGCAAGGAATTGAGTGGATCCACATAAGGGAACTAATGAAGGACCACCGTGATGAATGGAAGACTATAGACCTTTTTGCACTAGGTCTGGATGGCTTGATCATCTTTCCAAAGGTTTTGGGATGCATTGACGCAGCCGTGGTGGAACTGTTTGAGCAACTTCCGAAACGAGTCAACCCAGCACCGACCATCTCAGCCGAGACCTTTTGGTCTCTCAACCATTACCGAAGAGCTGGTGGAGGTAGATTCATTGGATGTGTTCAGTTCCTTCAAGTCTGGATTCACATCCACTTCTGGATTCACATCCACTTCTGAAAGACTAATGGGGTTGCCTACTGTAGATTTATCACTACGTATTCACCTTTGAGAGAGTTCATCACCATGACATGACATGAAGGCACTTCAAAAGAGAAATGGATGAAAGTCTTCACTCATCTTCAGGACCGGGATATTACCTGGAGAGCCCCCTGGTTGTTCCTCAGTGATGTTCTTTTCAAGTGTGGGAATTCTGACACTATGACCCTATTTGGACTTTGAGGTGCAGTTGGGTATGCTCTGTTGTTGGCACTTAGACAGTATGGGGCACATCAGTTTGTCCCAACAACATATGGATTATCTATATCAGAGTTTATGTATCACGGTGACAGTTTTAAGAAGATGATCAAAGAAGCAGTCGAGTCATGGAAGAAAGTATCTTGGATGGATGTCTAGAAGATTTAGTCCGAACATACCTTTTATTGTTTTTATATCTCTTACAAGATAAAACATTTTTGTCTGAATAAGGATTATTTATAATAATGGACACTTTTGTGGATCAATGCCTCGAACATTTCGTGCATTCTTGCATTTTGCATTTTTGCCTTTTTGTATTTTCATCTACATTTTAAGCATTTTCACAGACATGAAATTAAGTCGTGAAGGACTCGATGAAGCGAATTTAACCACATGGAAGCAAGATTGTAACATTAAAGAGCCTAATCAGCTGATGATAGGACAAAGCCGACTAGGATGATCTAAGAAAAGAATCCTCATATCCTAAGGACTACAATGTTGAAGCTGTTAACTGTTACCACATAAGAAGCTCCAAACATTCCTCTGAGAACTATAAGGCGCTGAAGCGCAAGATCCAAAACCTAATGGATTCAGGGGCATTGACAGCCGAAGAAGGGGGCATGGCATATACCATTTGCACCTAGAGGATTGTTTTGTTTGAACACGTCACTGATATTTCATGTTTGCTTAATCTTTTAAACGATTGAATTTATGCTACTTTCTAAGGTGGAGCAATTGAACAAATTTTAATCTTTAGTTCTTCGAATATTAAATGAATTAAGGATTCTTTTAACTCTTCAAGAATTATAGATTTTTGACATATGACAAGATTAGACCTTTCTTATCATGTCTCAAACCCCAAAATGAAATACCTTGATCATTACCAAAAAGACCAAATTTTGACATAACTTCCCTTTGAAATTCTTGAACATTGTCTTTATCTTTTTGATACACCCATACCTTTCTTTTAGTCAAATAAAGTCACACCATTGTCTTTTTAGACTCAAAATTGACATTTTAATACCCAAGGCATTGAGTTGTTCATTTGAACATGAGCATTCTTCTAAGACACAATTTGGGGCATCTCGCCGGGAGCCTGAACATTGAGATATGTTGGGAGCAAGGAGCAAAAAAATAATCCATTCGAAATAATTCTATCACGCATTAACTACACTGTTTTAATGTGAAGAAAATTAATTCTGAAAATCTATCCCCTTGGGGATACCTCTTCTGTGAGGACTTCCATGTATGAAATGATGAACGGCTTTCTTTCTTTATCCCTTTACAACAGGAGAAAATATATATCCCTTGTGTCCCCTTTTGAGCCTGTAGTATTTTTCTTCTGATTCAACCCTAACCAAGGATCACCCTCCACATTGGGGGGCAAGGTAGAAGAAATCTGATCACATGAGTGAAGACATCAATCAAAAGGAGACACCAAAAGGT